CGTTCTCGTTGTGCTCCTCGATGCTGGCGCCCGACTCCAGCAGCACCTTCACCACGTCCACGTAGCCCCCGGCGCAGGCGTACGTCAGGGCTGTGTTGCCTTGGGCCAGAGAGAACAGGGCTTGGGAACAGCCTGATGGCCCTCCTGACCCACAACTTCACCTGGCGCTCCATTCCACCCCTTCTAGCTGGGTACCTGATGGCACAGGGCTTTTCACGCTACAGATGAACAGCTACAGGGGGGGAATCAGCAGCGGCACCGAGCAGCCTGGTGCTGACAGACTGAGTGTCTGACCTCCTTGTGCCTGCACTGTGCCCCTCTCTTTCCATTTCTAGCCCAGTCACAAAACCCCCAACCACAGTCATGTTAATCAGCAGAAGCACGTAATGCTGTCATATGAAAGCTCAAAACCCAGAGTAGAATTAACTGCTGCTTCTAAATCAGGTCTTAAACACCTGCAAGGGACTGGTTCCAAAATGTTCCCAGTCTTTACAAGGAGAGGAAAAAAACTTTGGTGGAAAAAATACAAAAACATGGGTCTGCACACAACAGCCAAAGAATCTGCCTCTGTGAAAGACACCTTGAAAAATGTTACAGGTCAAGGCCATATTATCACTGAGAAAACTGCTTCACTGAAAAAATAAATTAAAAAATAAATAAGGCATCTTCTGGTATCCCCCTCTCCCCCTCACTCAGGGTCAGCTCTCCACTCATCAGGTACTGCTGACTACACACCAGCTCTCCACTTCCAGGTTACAAAAACTTACAGGATTTCCCAGTCTGGTCACTTCAACACAAATCGCTACCAAATTACCATGGGAACAGTGGAAGGGGAGGCCCTCTTCTCACTTTTCCCCTTGGGTTAACTGACCTGCCACCAAGTAACTTTTCCACGTACACACAAATTTACCAAACTGTGTTTAAAATGTGACAACAAATCCTAGGTACTCAAACTCCTTCGAGTTACTAACTGACCTTATCCACCTTTCTATGTCTCCACAATACTTGATCTGCATCCAACAATACTTCAGAGTTCCACTTAGGAAAGGGAATTTAAATGGCAAAACCACAAGGAAGCATTCTGCCCAGCTGGGCTGAGAACCATGGCTCCCGAACTTCCACACCAAGTTGCCTGCACAGAGCAAATGCCAGCTCTGCAGTGGTTCCCAAGAGCCCCTTTACCTGTGGATGACTGTGCGTTCACATCAGCACCGTGAGCTAGCAGCAGCTTGACAATTTTGACGTGCCCGCCGTTGGCAGCAGCCATCAGAGGTGTGATGTCTCCCTTGATGCCCCGGTCCTCCACATTGGCATGCATTGCCAAGAGAACCTGCCAAGAGACGCCGATCAGCAACACTGAGGGACAAACCCTGCCCTGCCCCTGCACTACCAACCCCCACCTTCACCCCAGTGCTGGGTGAGCAATCCTGCCACAAAACAGGCACCCAGAATGTATCAGCAACGTTTAGTGTATGTGTGAGACTCGCCTGCCATTTCTCACTACCTTAACACCCTCTTCCGGGTGCACAAAATGCTAATAATTGATTTAACATCTCTTTGTGTACAACACACAAACGGTACAAACGGCCAGGAAACCAACCTGTGCAAGCTCATAATACCCTGCTGAGCAGGCCAAGCAAAGGAGGCTTTCCCCTTCCTCTGTGTGCTCGTTCACGCTGCGGCCTTCAATGAGCAGCTTCCGCACGGCATTGACGTCTCCTTCGGAGCAGGCCTCGGCCAGGCTGCGGCTGACAAGGGGAGAGCATTCAGAGTGGAAAGGGACTCTGCCTCAGCTCCAGTGTGCCATGAGGACACATCAGCAAAAAAGGAAACACCAGCTAAAAACGTGCCAACTGCTAATTAAAGAAGTGACAGCTTTACACTTGAGGTTTCCCAGCTAACTTGGCTGAAAATTAAGTTGTGTCCATATCCACTCCTGCTATGAATTTTTAACAGAAGTTTACAAGAGATATAGATGCAGGATATCCCAGGACCAGAGGACATGGAAATCACCTGCCAATCTTGAGAAAACTTTATTTGTTCAGCACTGGAACTATAAATTAAACTAAAACAAATCACCAACATCAGTGTTCTCCTGCAGGAAACTTAACCCTTCTGTCCTGTGCTGAAAATACCAGGGTCTCGTAACCAGACATAATTTTAATACATGGAGAATCAGTTCTGAAATGTGTCTCTTCACTACATGTTGACCTTTTTTTTTAATTTCCAAGCACCTCTGTTTTTATAACAACTTTGGCAACTACCACCACTCCCAAGAAAGAGGTGCAGAGGAGAAGAGGGGATGCAGACAGAACAGAAGCAGACATAACACAAAATTATACTGCTCTTCCAGCTGTTCCTACAGCAAGAAATCTTCCTTTGGAGTTATTCTGTATGGAAAGAACAAACTTCTGACTAGCACAGCACCCTTGGTTGTCCCTACTAACAACGCTTCCACTGCACTGAAGCCTTATGGCAGTCTGGAAGGAAACATCCTTCTTCTTTCCCTCCTGAATACCCCAGTGGGAAAAATTGCACATGTGAAGCCACCAAGTCCAGCACAAGAGCAGCAACTCCCTGGCTGAGGTGACACCGACTACTGTGGAGCTCCAACCCCTAAAGGCTGTTTCCCTTCCTCAATTAAAAAGGCACTCTGAAATTCCCTAAAAGATTTTTTTAATTTGAAATCTTGTTTCATGCTGTCACTGAATGACCCATGTGGGAATTTACAACCCTCTGGAACAGTTCTAAGGCCCATACCATTGAAGAGTCTAGAAATGTTTCTACAGCTGGTCACGATAAACTCCTTGCAGTTTCACCCCGTAATTCTGAGCAGCATGAATTGCTTCACTCCCTACTGCAAGACCTGCCAGTCCACAAATATTTAAGCAGGAGAAGCAAAGGTGATAACTTGGCACCAACTGCACTTGAGTAAGAGTTTCATCATGCCCTCAGCGCACGCGCTAGAACAAGAAAAACCGCTTCTGGAGGGAGCAAAGGGCTGAGAGGCTCCAGGCCCGGGCTGCCTTACTTGTCCGTCTGTCCTGCGCTGGCCGTGCTCTCGGCTCTCATCCGGGTCAGCGCGGCGGCCGCTTCATCCAAGGCGCAGCTGACGGACGAGGTCAGCCTGCGCAGCACCTCGGGGTCCGCAAACGCCTTCCCGTCCGCCGTGGACAGCTTCCCTATGCCTGCCGTGCCCAGCCAGCCGGGGCAGCGCGCGGCAGGGAGAGAGCAACACGGTCCGGGTGAGCCTCCGACAGCTCGGCACCAACGCTCCGAGCACCATCCACTACAGCTTCCACAGCCATGGCTTCAACTGCTCGCAGCTGCACCTGACTGAAACCCTCCCAGCCACGGGGGCAATCAGCTTTCAGCTACTCAAACTACGTAATATAAGCAACTATGAAAGCTTTTTTACAAAATAAAACCTATTGAGCCATTCAGGGTTTGACATAACGGCACACGCCAAAGTCAGGCGTCAATTTTGACTCAGGCTTTTAAAATGCCGGCATTGGAGAAATCTGATTGGAAACATCTTCACGTAAAATTCTGATTTTCCAGACCTTGGAATACTCTAAAATGAACTTGTTTCCCTTCAGTGACACCCCTGGCAAAGCCCACCCAGCCGTGCATCTCACAGCTGTATCCTGCTCCCATGGATTAGCCTTACACAAGCCCTTCCAGCAGGGACTCCTGTCAGGGCTTTGGGGTTAAACCCGGACGGGACACGAGGACTTACCCGCAGCTTCCAGCAAAGCTTCTAATCTCGCCTGGGTTTCAGGATCTACTGTTCTCAGGTCAGCACCATCAGCAGTACTTGACAGCAGCAATTTAGAAGCTGTTTCCAACATAGGGTTTTCGAGATCATCCTGATCCAAGATAAATGATTCCACCTGAAAAGTAACAGACCTGGATTAAGAATGATATAACTGACCAAAATGGACTGAAACCAGAAAAAACCTACAGCTGAAATTATTATTTAAGCATTTTATTTTTAAGTACTTTGTTGGCTTCAGGTATCTCACTTCGGGTCTGATGTCCCCTAATCCAACATCCAAAGAAAAGAACCACACAGACAAGCAACGCCTTCCACATAATTATCAATGCCACTGTAAAATTACTTTATGTCACAGCATCTTTCTCAAGAAAACATTTTCTCGAACTTGATCTATAAAATATGCAACTGTTTATCTGCCTTTTTTAGAAAACAGATGCTGAGCTGTCTGAATTCTTCCGAAGACCCTACTTTTCTGTGCTGTCCATCTGTTTTTGCTGTGAAACAGGTAGAAATTTGGAACAAGATGAGTGCTTTAGAGAAGAAAGCCCTAATACTCATTTGTGTTATCCTGCCTGCTAGAGGACAAGTAGTGCAGAGAAGACACTTCTCTGAGAGTTCCATGAGCTCACTCCACAGCCTGTGAACTAGTCGCACAAACAATTATCAAATTAAAAAGACCAAGTTAAACCTCCCCCTACAAAGCTCAACAGCTTCCAAAAGTCCCAGCTCCAAAACCCTAATCTCAATCCCAATACAAAAAAAAATCAGAATCAATTTAAATGCCAGTCTCCCCAACAGAGAAATCACATGTGCCACCCCTACAACAATTAAAAACTGCAGTCACCTCTGGATAAAAGCAGCCACTGTCTGCATCTGTTTCCAGATGGAATATACCTCGCTGAAACAGAAAATTGTTTTATTCTTAAGCTTCATTTGTGTCTCCAAAATTTCAAAGCAGTCCCATGAGCATCACAAGCTCAGATTCCTGCAGATAAATTCCCCAAGAACCCATCCATGTGGGCAGACAAACCAGAAGAGCAAGCAGGTCATCTAAGGACTCCTGGAAGGTCCCTCCAGCCTCCCCCATCCATTCTCTTGTCACAAGCGGGGAGCTCACATCACTTTTGCCTTCTGTCTCCCACTGCACACTTGTGGGGCACATTCAGCTTCAACCCAAATGCCCTGTTTGCTAAGGAAGGAGGCTGAGCACTGCTTCCCCATTTTCCTCATTTTCCCCCTTTAACACCACCACTGAGAAACAAAGCCTCTGGCCAGCTCTTGGCAATACCCAAGCACGCATCTCAAGGGCACCTCTAACGCTGCCTCTGCTCTTTTGCAGCCACTCTCCCCTCCTCCTGCACACCTGAGAACATCAAGCTGAACACCTGAGAACATCAAGCTGGGAGGACTTCCAGCTCCAGACCAAGGCGGCTCTGGTGCCAAGAGCAGGCAGCCCAGCAGCACTGCCCATTGCTCCTCAGCAGTGTTTTCTGCAGCCACACTCACAGGGGCAGACTGGTGAAGGCAGCTCCAGGTTTGCCCCCCGGTGCTCAGGAAGCCTGCCTTGCCAGGGTCCTCTGCCCAGCACGCTCTCTGCACCCACACTGCTATTTCAGGCCTGCTGTGGTTCATCCATGGCCTTGCCCTGTGCGTTCCTGCTGAGGCGGGCCAGCGGAACCCCCACCCCTGGAAAGGCAAACTCCAGAGCTCTGCAAGGATTCCTGGCTCACACAACACATGCAAAATCCCAACTGCTCACACTGACTGAAAAAAATCTCCTCCAAGTGAAATAATGAACAGCTGGTCGTGGTTCCTCCTAACACTATGAAATATTTGCTAAGAAGAAAGTCAAAATAGGAAAACTACTCTCCCCCACACATCTCTCCCCCAAAATTAGGTCTTTCACGCAGTTAAAGTTTCAAATGCAAAAATCCTCCCATCTTCCTTCCAGCTAAGAATATGTGCATGGTGTGATTAAATAAACAACCCAAGGAGAACAGGGAGAAGCAGAAATCCACCCACAAACACAACACCGTGAGGGACCAGCAGAAAACATCCTCACAATAAAATTTGGGGAATGTTTATACTATGTGCTGTCACTGAAAACATTTCAGAACAGAACAAGAAATTAACTAATTGGGAAAACACTTGACACTATTTTTTAATATTAAATACAGAGTAAAAATCTTTTCTGTTGCAAGGTAGAAGAGATCCACCTTCAGCCTGAAGCTTCAGAACTTCTCATCTCCTCTGCAGTTTCAAAACTGTTATTTACCTACAGGGTTTCATTACAGCCTTGTCTTTTCAGTTTTTCTACACAACACCAAGTACCGTACAGGGACAGTGATAAAGACATGGTGTACCAAAGCGAGGAACAAAACCCTATTTTGGTAGAAGGGAAAACTCTACTTCTGCTTCTCAGAAAACCCTGCCTTCTCCACAGAAGCTGCAAATGAAGACAAAGCATTTCCATGTACCAGGTCAAGTAAACAGACATTTCCTTTAAAGGGCTTCAGACGTATTTTATTTCCCTTGACTAAAAAAAGTAGAATAGCATACAAATGCTCCACCTTGCATATCAGAATATTTCATCTGCATGCTCCATCACCACTGCTCCAATCCAACAATACTCTGACATAACTCAATTGTTCAGGGCCCCACCATCAGCCCTTTCACAAGATTTCTCCTACCCTCTCATCCTGCACTAAGAATATCATGTTCTGTCCTGGCCTAGCTTCACTTTGCTCAATTTTTAGTAATATTTGATACTTCTACTATCAAAAAGGTGCCAGGAGAACAAAACTCCCAGGTTCTGGCTGCTCTTAAACAGGACTCATGTCTGCACACCCTGAAGACAGCCCTGCAAGATGCCAGTAAGTTTGTTCTGACTAACAAACACCAAATTCTGCACATGCATTTGAAGAAATGCCAGGTTAGGACAGGAAGACAAAGCACACCTGAGTTGCCCGAGCTGGTGTGGCTCTGCCACCACATAGTGCTGAACCACACAGAGACAGAATTCAGCTCCTGATCCTAACTCTGACTTCATCCACCTCTCTCCACCAAGCACCCACACACACAACTGCCACCAGCACAGATCCCACTGTGGACCCAAGCCTCCACATCATTTCCCACAGATGTACACTAAGCTCAAAGAATCCACTTCCTCTCAGAGGGCCCCTCACAGTAAGAAGATACAACAAAACCCCAGGTAATGACACACACACAAAAACTCCAAACAAACAATTAACAACTCTCTAGCATTAAGGACTTGAAGAAAAGCTTCGGGTTATCTACTGATTTCAAATTTGCTGCTTTTAAGGCTAAACATGGATTAGCATCTTACTGATTTCACACCAGGCCAGGGAGGGAGGGAGAGGGGAAGGTACATCCCACCTACAAACAACCTCCTCCTAGGAGGAACAAACACAGTACCCAACACCAAGCAGCCCCTCTAGAACCACACCATGCACTAGGGCACCAAGCTAGGCAAAGTCCCAAAATGAGTATACAGTGCCTAAATTAACATTGCATGTCTGAACAACAGCAACTCCAGCCTTACTCCCAGCAGAAGGACCTGCCACCAGTTCCATTACCTGAAAGCTTTAAAATGAGCTGAGCTCTACCAGAATGAAACCACCTCTCAAACAATCCCTTAGGAACAAGGCAGAAAACACTTGGTTTCCAGCACCCACCAGCCTCACTGCAAATGCCACAAGCTCCATTTTTCATCCAGTGAATCAGTACATGGCTCTGCTCATTTACAGAGCATCTCTAGCATTTGGGTATCACTGAGTTACAGTTTTCCTAAATGACATCTTTGCTGTAAGAACAACCCTGAAGCACTGAGAAAAGGCTGTAAAAAGCAATGTTCTCCTTCCCATCTCAGGTTCCCTGACTGATTCCAAGAGTCCATTTTGCTGACCCCATTCCCTGCTCCTTCTCCTTCAGCCCATCCTGCGTGCACCCAGCGCTGATGCGCTCCCGCCTTCCAGGACTGACTGGGAGCAAGCTGGGTAAATCCTGTGTAAACCACAAAACTCTGTCTAAACGACAAAAGCTAAAATCACCTCTGTTACGTGCCATGTGGAGGCAGAGCAGCAAGCAGCGTCCCAAATGGCACAAGTGGGCACTCAGGGTCACTAGCCAGCCCAAAGCCTTGCTCAGAAGCACCTGAGTGGCACCTTGGGACAAACACGCGGTGCCATCGCCCTGGAAGCTGCCTTTGGCCGTCTGTGAGATGCAGGGGCTGCTGCCAGGCTCAGAGCATCAGTGCACAGTCCTGAGGCAGCACCAAGGCAGCAGAGCACTGCAGTGAAGGCCTGGCAGCCAGGCTGTGCATGCACAGCAGCTCTGCACGGCTGGGAAACAGCCAGGCAGGCTCATTAACCTAACAGGATTTACTTTTTAAGCTTCAGTGTTTTTAAGCACCACAACATAAAACAGCAGCACCTGAAACTGCATTTGGATAAACCACACCAGCTCAGACAAGTATTAAAATACAAAAAAATTCCACCTCTCAGGAAAAAAATCTTTTGGCTTATTTTTGGGGCTGGCCCCTATTTTCCACATACTTCATGTCTCAGCTTTTCTGAGTGAGGACTTTTGTCTTCTATTAGGCAAGGAAAAAACTTAGAACTTGCTAAATTCTTACCTTGGCATTTGGGCCTTTGGTGTTTGACACCCAGAGGGTACCAAACAAATCCTAAGAGGAGCAGAGCAAAGCCCTTCAGGAGAACTGTAAGGACAAGGAACAGCCAGTGGGCAGCAAACTGTACCCCCCAAGACAAACCTTACCTGACACTCCTTCAGGATCAGTTCTTTGTCAGGCACTTACTGCCAGCTAGCAAGCACTTCAACAGTTGATTTTTCCAAGCTCCAAAACTTTCGGAGAGTAGCAGGTTTTTAAAAACAACAATAAATTTAGCAAGAATTGTCAACTCTGTTTGGTGTTGCAAAGCCACCTTCAGAGCAAAACCACAACTGTGACCAGGTCATACTTAGTCCTGCTCTGCTGATTTCAGCCCCACTTCTCTGCTTGAAGAGCAAGGAAGTTTCAGATTCTTTCCTTACTCAGCTAAAAAGGACTCCCTTCCAGTGAGCAACCTTAATCCT